GTTCCATCCTCCACATTCAATTTACACAAGGCCACAAGCCAGTATATGCATAGTGGAGATTCCAAGCTGATGATAATGGAAAGGCTTTTGTTGATATTATATTATACTCTATAGCTATATTAATCTAGGGCATCCATAAACTGGCAGCCCATTTTGAAATCTGAAAAATGTCTACAGCCCACCTAACCCCTCAACCTCTACTGTGACATGATCTGATATCATGTTCCACACCATAACATATGCATTGTGCAAAACGTTTGTGAAATTAACAGTAAAATTGTGTAAAATCTTGACATCAAAAAAGTGTAAATAGAAAAACAACAAAGCAAATGTTTAATTTACATCAATATTTTCTAAATAATACATTCACTTCTATAAAATAACGAACCATACAAAACTGTTAATTTTACAGTAAGAATATGTTTTAAAAATCGTGTCCTTGTTGTCGTAATATGACAAAAAACTGTTTTTCTACATGATAAAGAGATGCTGCTATAGTAAATAAAAGAAATATGTCAGCACGAGTCTTTAGGCTTAACCTGTAGTAAATAAATGTAAAAGATGACAGAAAATCAGTCCTGTGATGTGCAACAGTGACTAAAACAATGTCTGAGATATTTGACCTTATTATTGACAACAAGTTTGCTATCTGACGGTTTATGGTCTTAGATGCCCGTCCTCCATGGTTCTACAAATCATGACCGCCCTCTTCCAGCACTGTGTCTGACCTCATGATCAACACCATAACATGTGTGATTATCTCCTTTTTGTTTCTTTGTCTGAATTATTTTGATTTTCTGACAGTTTGCTTGTTGAGGTTGGCATTAAGAGCCTTACTTGGGAGCTGACAGCCAACTGCTCTGTAAAAATGACAGGTTTGTGTATACAAGATCAAAACAAAATAAAAATAAACAAAAGAGATTAAAAAAAGAAACAGCATACATTATAGGAACACTGATGCAGAGATAACATGGAAAAATAAAGAGGATTAAAAATGAAAAGCTATTTTTGACTTTTAAGGTTAAATATAAAAGGCAAATTTACATTTAAATTACACAATAGAAACGTTTTTAAAGGGTTTTTTGTTTGTGCATTTGTTAGTTTACATTTCCCCCTATCCTCGCCTTTATCAGAACCAATTAAAACGTCAAATGATAGCCTAACCCAGACTTTCCCAAAGTGTGGGGCCCGCCCCCGGGGGGCGCAGTGTGAAAAGGGAAAAGAAAAAACAAGCTTGGACACTGCTAGCACGGGGCGCCCACACAAACGCAAAGCAGGAGATGAAGCATCGCTGAATATGTTTCCAAACCAACTTCATTCTAAGCCAAAGACTAGAAAATATGGTGAAGCATGTCTTCCCTTTGGTTTCACCTGCACAAGTGCCAAGGTAGGTCTCCCTGCAGAATTGGTTTTCCCTGCATCGGGAACACACGCTGGGCTCTTCAAATCACGGACAAACAGTATCCCACATTCGTGATTTTTAGTTCACAAACACTTCTTGTAATAACTAACTACTCCTGACATTTTGGAGACGTTAGCTCTTTATACAGTAAAGTTACAGCGGGATACAAATAATATCAGGCTGATCCTGCCACGACTTGTTCCCCCGGTTCAAATCAGGGACATTTCGGTGTTTCGAAACGCCGTTTACGTGTGGTCGAAACAGCTGCGTTTTCAAAAATACCCGTGTAGGTGTGGACGTAGCGTAAAAGAGTTAGTAGCTTATTTTCTTACTACCTGTCATTTATTGCAGATTACTTGTATTTGCTTAATTGTTTACTAAATGTTTGAAGTGTGAAATAAACCGCAATGGAGCAAAATATGGGTGTGTGTGGTTGGAGGACGTGTTTGTGGGGCATGAACATTTTTCCTGTAAAACAAAGGGGGGCCTAGCAAAAGAAGAACCCAAATTTTATTAAGATAATATCTCTAAATATCAACTTAGCTTTGCTTTGCAATTTTTTAAACTTTATTTCATTTTTTCATTTATTTAGTTTTTGTCAATAGTTTAAATATATTTTTTATCATTTTTTACGATATCGAAATATGACAACATACTATTATGAATACGCATTATCATAATTTATATATTTATATTCAGACGGATATTTAACAGTGGTTACTTTTCACAATTGCATAAACATTTGGTGAGAGTTTTAGAAACATTTTTATTTTTTATACAGGAGTTAAAGTGAGTTTATTGGAGGGAATAAAAGTTTTTTTTCATTTTGTAAACACGGTTTCCATGGCAGCCGCAAAGTTCACGGAGCAAAATAAGTTAAACCTGCGGAAGAAAATCCACCGGGAGCAGAGCAGAGAGGTAACCGGTGAGTTTCTGTCTCACACGATGAAAACACCTCAGAGAGGCTGAGCTTATCTGTGTACAAGCTAAGCTCCAGCAGTGTGACACCAACGAGGTTAAATATATATTTAATCGTTTTTATATCGAAATATGACTACATACTATTATGAATCTGCATTATTATATGTTATATATTTATATTCAGATGGATATTTAACAGTGGCTACATTTCACAAATGCATAAACATTTGATGAGAGTATTAAAAACATATTTAGTTTATGTCATACTGGCCGTTAGCACCGTAAACGTTAAAGTTAGCTTCACGGACGTTAACAATGGTTAACCGTTGTTAACGTCCACGGTTCGTGTTAAACGGAAGAGGCTCTGATCCCGGTTAACTTGACTTCCACCTGCAGAGGTGTGTGTCTTTAAAGGCCGGTGTGGTCAGTTTCACTCCGCCCATCGAGGCTGATTTGAGGCCGGAGCGCGGAAACGTAACATCAACACGCCCAACTCAAAGACTTTGAGTTCTTATTTAGATCAAGGTTTAGTGCTAAGGTGTGTTCAAAGTGCTGCTTTTTATTAACTTGTTTTTCGAAAGTGCTAAAAACACGTTTTAATTCAGCCAGAGCCCTTTTTCCTGGACCTTTTATGAGTTTTGGGATTTTTCTTTTATTGAGGCAGTGAGTATTAAATATGTGTGGGGATGTTGGTGAAATGATGAGGCACCGTGCACAAACACAGATATCTGGGGATATGATCTACTTTGTATTGCCTTCTTCATTTGACACCGTTTAAGCA